CCGTCCTCTCCCTTCGCAAATGTTCGCGCATAAACGTTCCCGTTTTTTAAACTGCCTTAATAGTACTTAGCGCAGTTGATAATCTCCTCTTGCTTTAATTAATCCACTTGAACAAAATGCAGGCAAGAAGTGCATTTCGACGAGAGATTGGCGAGAGAGAGAGAGAGAGAGAGAGAGAGAGAGGGGGAGAGGGGAGAGCGTGCGCGAAATGTCGAAGAGCGCGTAACAAGCTTATCATATTTTCATGCTTTTCATACTCTTACCGTAATTTCGATAAGCGATCGCGTTACCCCGCGTTTAACATCGCGTGTTTGGCGGTGCTGCACCTAATCATTATAGGTAAATTCCGCGTTGAATAATTCCACGACGTTGCGAAGAGGGAAAGAGGGTGGGAGGAAAGCACAACAAAAAAGTTTATTCTACCGCGCTGATTCACCCTTTCAGAAACCGCGGGACAAGTCGAGGAAAAATATGCATGAGGTGCATACTTTCTAATTAGCATTTGGTAAAACTTTTGTAATTCTGGGTAAGCCTCATCTGCAGTAGTACGAAACAAGTGGCAAGTGTAAAATATACGAGATTGCTGCATATAAAATAATATTCATGCTGGAAATAAATTCGACGAGGGGGGAGGGGGAGAGAGGCATTCGATGATGGAACGTAATTCGGTATTGATCGATAATAACCGATGCTTTGTATTCATCGAATATCATTGGCAAATACGCCGTGTTTGACTGCGCCGCGCGTGTGACACATAAATATTTAACACGTGACAAATAGTTCGGCGCGACGAAATCGTGCCGCGGCACGTTTTACTTAATTCCTTATTCATATTTTAGTCGGACTCTCAAAAAATTATTTCCCCAACGAGAGAGGGGGGGGGGGCAGCCGGGATATTACGATTTCAAACGCGTCGTTCAATTTTAATTGGTACGCATTTGTAATCATTATAAAAGGCCAAAAAAGAGAGATTAAAGTAAAACATTGTTGTTAACGCGAAAAAGAGGGGAAGAGTGGAGGAGGATCGCGCGAAGGAAGTGTTTGCTGAAATTGAATTGCGAGGACTTCCGGTCGTATCACGTCGCGCCACGTAAATAATTTATTTTCACGAATTATGCGTCTTCCGCTCGCGTCGATTAGTCATACTTACATTCGCGAGCGTTATGAAACGCGGTCGACCAGCAAAAAGGAATGGGCTGCGAGCGCCGAGTTAACAATCGATCTCCTTGGAGAGCAAGACTGACAGCACGTCATTCCGGTAAGTACGGGCTAACAACTTCGGAGTATAGTTCTCCGCCGAGAATTCGTGACGTCTCTGAAGCGAGGAGAATTAATAATGCCATAAGCCCGAATGGTAGAAAATTAGGATGATATTGCATTTCGACTTCGTTCTCTTTTTATACCTGAGAAGTTTAACTGCGAAGTTGCTGTATCGCGAGTACATCAATTATTTCGAAACGAGAAAACGATATTTTTTATGTTTCTAATAACGGCGACTTCATTCTGATATATCACAGCAGTCTAAATTCCACAATATAAAAATATCACAATTTTTGAAGTTATTCAAATATTTTAAATGTTTTACATTTCTATAGACATTTCGCAGTATCATAAATTATAAATTTTTGTGGTAATGTTAATCTGTTTAATAACGATACAGAGAATTTTATTTATAGCTTCGCAATGGTCAAATATCGTTATTAATAATTATTTAAATAAAATGCCTTAGTGAAAATTCAACTAAAATATTGAGTTATTAAATTCGCAGGAAAATAGCAATTTCTTCTAAATACCGGTTCGTATGATAAAATTTGCTCAATATTTGTAACTTAAAAATTTATATATAATAATAATAATAATAACAATAACTTTATTCATATGCATTAAAGAAGCGTATTTGAACAGAAATCAATAAGACATAATATAAAAACATGTCCATATAAAAGGCGAGGTACTCGCATAATGTTGCCTCGAAACCTAAACCTGAAACCTAAAACTAATTACAATTAATGTGAACACAAAGAGGAAAGAAATTACAAAATAAACCAACAATATAATATAAATAAAATAAATAATATAAATTAACTGGATGATAAATAAATATAAATTAAAATAAATTGCAAAATAAATTGACAAATATAAATAATATAAGTGATACAATATAAAGAAGTAATATAAGCAATATAACGTAAAAAATTTATAATTTAGTAACAGATTTATGATATTTACAAAAAATTATTCGTTATTGCCAATTATTCATTATTGGACAAAGAATAGCTATTTTTGAGGATTTTTTTTTATATTAACCTCATCTCTCTGCGCTTATAAAGAGTCAATTGACATTTGCTACATCAATTAATATGTTTCGGAAATGGACTGGAAAACAAAACTGATATTTTTTGATACTTCTGTATAATATTTATCAAATATATGGATCCGAAAAACAAGAGAAGCGCAAAAGCGAAATAAATTAATTAACGAGGAGATAGATGTTGCAGGAAGCTAAACTATCGCGTTCTCCATCTGGCTCTATGCGCCCCTTGGACACGTATTCCGCCTCACGCGACACATTACATTTGAATTATATTACACATGTAATTAAATATCTTTAATACGAAATGCGCCATTACATTAAAACGAAGCGTGTAATTAGTTCGTGCTAGAAAACGCGATTAGATGCGGTAGCGTGATGGGTCTTCGACGCTTCTTCCAAGGGAGTACCCACGAATATGTAATATTAAACCCATAAAATGAACTTCGCGCGTGTAAACGCGTGTGTTACCCTCGTAAGCGACGTGAAAGGTATTTTAGTGCTTAGTACTCACGTGTGCGGAGAGCGGAGGAAGAGACTTGGGAAGAGACATACCAGGCGCTTCAAACATCGTCACATCGTGGTGGCACGGTAGCCTGCCGTTGGCGCTTTCCGCCTCGTTCCCAGAGACATCGTGGCTCGCCGAGTCGGGCGCTCTCGATCTCGTCGTCGATACTCCATCAGTGATGGCAGCACGCGGGCTGCGCCATACGACCGGTCTCAATGAACGAATTAAATTCTCATTGTAGCGTTGCGGTCACCGCGATGGACACGCCGTTCGCCCATTCCTCTCCCCCGCCCCTCCCCGCATGTCCCACTCCGCACGTCTCTCTCTCTCTTTCTCCCGCGTCTTATCGTCTTGATCTGCGCCGCGATCACGAGCTCTCCTCTCTTTGTCGTTTCCGGCACAGCGCTCCCTTCCTCTCTTTTTATCTCGTTTCTACTATTGCCCACGCATCTCTTTTGCGGACCCAGACCGTTTTCTCCCGCGTTTTTCACCTCGCTACATTTTGTGCGCCGCGAACCGTGAAATTGCCGGTTTAACGATTACAACTGTCGTTGAGATACTTCTTGTTGCTCTTGGACTGCGCAATTAGATTACATCGATTAGGTGCGAGAAACTATTCGTCGCGTTTACGCGCAAAAAGAGGAGAGAGAAAGCGAGAAAGTTTACAAAGAGGAATATTCATGCGGTTAAGCAGAAGGATGTAAATGCGAGAGCGCGCCTTTTTTTCGGGAGCGAAAAGCTTTCTGAACTCGCAAAAGTTCAAAGTCGCAACTATGCACTTTGAGGACAAATTATGCAAATAAATAAACGAAGACAAATATAGATAGAGCGAGATATAAAGATACACTCTTACATAATAACACATCAGCTTTTGATGATCGAGACTGGGAAGATTGCTACACATCTCAAAATGTGGAGATTGGGTGTTAGATATATATATTTTTAAATGATCGTTAATTAGATTTAAGTTATCGTAATTATTCAATCGCGATAACGACGATTCTCGCACGCGCTTCCACTTTTCCGAACGGCTGCGCGTAACGAGATGTGAGGCATTAAGATGCCGGTCAATCAAAAGCCCTATATATCTTGCCCGGCAGAAATTCCCGATCCGGCCATTGTGGCTCTACGAGCACGATTTAGGGTGTAAGATATTTGGCGCGGTCGATATGATCCCGAATGGCATTGTGGCAAGCTCGAAAGGAGATGTTCCACCGAGGAAACCGTATATAGCTCGAAATATTCGTGAAATATTCCTTTCGCATGTGATTCTTCCCTTCTTATATCCTCGTGCGCTTCTCAAATAAAAAATTGTGCATTAAAAAATTTAGTGTTAATATCTCATAATTTGTTGTTTCATTCGCAGTCCGGCCTTGCACGCGAGAGAATCGCGAGAGAATCATCTGCTACTCCCTCAGAAATAAATCCGTGAAGAAAAGAGGCTTTTATACGAAAGGAAAAGCGTTTCACTTATCTCAGTATCTATGGATTATGTATGTTATATAACATCGTTGGAGATAAAATTATTTCTCTTTAGCAGCGGGAAAAAACATCGCAAAATAATATTCTCTTCGGTTTAAAGAGGCTCGCATCTTTCGTCTTTAAAGTGAAATACCTTACAAGAGATAACTCCTATTTTTCAAATATAATTGTTATCTATAAAATGTGATCATTATATTTTTTTAAAAATTGCTTTAAAATCAAATCAGAGCGAGGATTAACTTTTTTTTTTAAAGAGAAACTCAAATTCTCTTTGCGACACGAATTAGACGTATCAGTAAAGTTTAGAAGGTCGGTTTTCTATTCCACCAGCGTTTATCCCTTCCCGTTTGTATCTCGTAATTTGCAACATCTTTATCGCGCAATACGGGTCTCCGCGAGACAACCACGGTCCCACAGCGAGCAGGGGACAAGGGGGAGTAACGCAGTGTCTCGTCGACCATCCCATATTGTCTCCGTTTTCAGATTCCCTCGCGATCTTCCTCCGTCGCTCTACCGCCCATCGTCGTTATCCCCCCGTTTTCCCCACCTCGCTCATTCTCTCCCTCTCCCTCTCTCGCGTTCGTTCGTTCGTTCGTTCGTTCGTTCTGGCGTCGCGACGGAGGAAGGACGGACGTGGCGTGCCGTGCTGTGCCGAACGAGGACCACGGCGCAGCACAGAGCAGCTGGAACGTCAGAGTGCCCTCCGACTTCGTCGCGTACACATCCCTCCCCTGGATCGCGTAGGATCGCGCGGCTACCGTCGTCGGCGACGTGTGTTGCGAATCGCGTTTACGTGTACGCAATACGCATACGCGGGCGCGAACGTACGAGCGGGTACGATTATACCCATATATACATTTCTCCGATTTATCCGTCTATCTATCGCTCGTCGGTGGATACGCTTGTGATACTGCGACTGTCCGAGAAAGCCCGTTTCGCTTTCGCAGTCACGAGAGAGATAGAGATAGGGGGGGGGGGGGAGAGGGCGAAACGGAAATTGAAAACGACGGTGCAGCAATCCAACCGGGCGCGGATCGCAGGGGGAGAGAGAGAGAGAGAGATACTGAACTTCATTCCGCGCGGAATTGCGGAGCTCGCCTTCGGAGTTTCTCTCGATTACATCGCTACGGTATTTCTGTCCGTATCTCAGGAATTATCTCCGAAGATCCATCGGCGGAAACGTCCGGTCTGATTATTGGGGGATTTTACTACTGGGGTGAGTGGATACCCTCCGGGCGAAAATCGCCCCTTTGCCGCGCCGGGGACATTCGCGGCGGGAGAAGGATCGCTCCGCGCGATCGTTCGTTAGGATCTCGGACGCTATATCGCTGCGTGCCGACCCGTCGCTCGATATAATCGCTCGATAAGGATCCCTGGAGTGAAGTGGCACAATATACTTTACGTCTTTTTCCGAATAAAAAGAGAAAAAATTCGGGTCGAGAAATATTTGGCTGATTTAGGATGAACATCTGGAAGAAGCGACGCTTGTAAAGTTTTCGGTTTGTTGGTGCCGTGTCTTTCCACGCGTGTGCTACTCCGTTTTTCGCTGCAGACCGCGCGGAATTGAATCTGAAGGAAGACAAGTGCGTGTGGAAGTAGTGGAGGATCGCGGGAGATCGGGCGCGATGCGCTGAAGAAGTGCTATCGATTTTACCGGGGATCAAAAGCGGGACGCCTATACAGGCGCGCTGGACATTAAGTTAAATCGCTGCGGCATCGAGAACGGGACGGGCAGAGATAGTGTAATAGTGATAAGGCAAGTGAGAGAACTGGATAGAGATAGTGGAGTCGCGTGACCTGGTCAACTTGGTGGCTAATCGCGAGTGTGCAATATTGCTATGCTGCCCCAAAGAAGCGTTTTACCGTTTCAATAGAAAGAAACTTCAGTGTAACGTGACTCGTAAAAAGGGAGGAGAACAATACGTGAATCGTTCTCGAATATCATTCGAGAGAGACAGAAAGAGAGAGAAAGAGAGAGAGGAGGGCGATGCTCGCGGCGAGAGACGTGAAAGTGAAGGGCAGACATCTCTTTTGAAACGCATTACCGTGGGTCCGAATGATAACGATAGAATTGAACAGATGTAACTGAGAGCTTTCGTCGGAAAGACATACGGCGCGTGTACAGTGGAGAGACGTACGCGCGAGGTAGCGAAAGACTGAGCGATCTGACGTCCCCCAGCGGTCGCGGTGCGGGAGGAGGAGCGGTCCGGTATTAATTGCCCCGTCAGCAATTGAGTTTTGTAAAGGCTCGGCCTCTTAATTAGTTCGGCGAGGATCTAACGTGAACGATGAAGTGGTGCGTGTTGGTGTTGGTACTCGCCGGTCTGACTAGGGGCGATAATGCCGATACGAATGTCTTCAATTGTCCGGTACTCAATGCTCAAGACGACTTAGACCTCGACAAGGTATGTGCGCTTGCTATTGTCCACCGTTATCACTGCCGCTCCGCAGACGCGGCCGTGGAAAATGTTAGAGCGGGCGAAAACAAGTATTTACGCGTCTCCGCCTTCCCCGCAGATAATTTTTATCGGGGAAAATATATAATACATTACTGGTGTGAAGTGACTCCGTCCACAGAGTACGTTGTCTCAATTTGTACGTAACGAAACGCGCCGTGCCCGGCAAAATAATTCTTCTTTATTAAAATTACGCCGGAAAAAGATGAAGCGCGAGAAGTCTCCCTTCTTGTTCTTTATAATTTTTAGTACCTTCTGCAGCACATTAGTTATATAATTACATTTCTCCTCTTCTATCTATGCGTCTGTTATAAATTCAACTTACTCTCGACTCTCTTCGTCGCAGAGATACGTGCGGCCGTTTGGACGTACGTTTGGAGAACGCGGCCGTTTTTCTGTCTCGCGATTTAAAGAGCGCGCGCGCGCTTGAAAAAAAGAATGAACGATAATTACGGAGGAATTCGGAATTTTTTTCTCTCTCGCGACATCTGTAACAATTCGTGTCCAGTTGTTATACAGATACGTAAAACGGCGTCTCGGATATAAAATGTCTCGGCGCACAATGGGATAATATATCAGGCTTTTAATATGTTCCCCGTCACGAGCATTACACCCGATGCCCGCCGATAATTCAACGGTGCGTCATAAGCATCAACTCTCTCCGTGGTGGCGGGCCCTCGGCGGGCCTGCATTTGCCTTAATATAACTTTCGGCGTTACCCGCGCCGAATATATATCTCGCGAGCAAGAAAAATCGTTCGCCGTCGGCGCAAACGCAGCGCGCGCGCCATTGCCTCCTCGCGATATCTCGGGCGCGCGTAACTGAAATTCCGAATCGACGGAATGATTTCCAACGGTAACGCCGCGCGACACATTGATTTTCACATTAATTAATTATTTCGTTTAATTTTCACCCTCTCATTAAATAAAGATAAACTCTACATGCGTATGTACGTAATATTGATAGAGTTGTATGCCGTGTCAATTTGTCCTAGCCTAACACCGTGCGTTTTATACATCCATAAACGTGTCATAAGTGTTTTTAAAATATTCATAAATATTATATGTTGACCGTCCGTGCGCGCGGTGAGATACGTAGGTAATTTAAATTGTATAATCGAAGATGCAAAACTAACAACCGCCCCTTTTAATCAATCGTCAGAAAACACGCGGATAACTTGAAACGCGAAGCCGCAGTTTGCAATAAATCCGGGCATGTCGATCCGCGCATATCGACGAATAAATATAACATTGATATAGGAGCGATGTTTTTTGAAGTAACATTAGCGAAAATATATGTATAGTAACGAAAGTACATATATACGAAGGAAAGGAACAGAAGAGTCGTCGAAAAATGCTCGTTAGCTCAGTGATATTTAACTTGAAGCTCGAAAGCTTTGTGTTATTCAAACGTTTGTACAGCCCTACTCAATTTGCCCTGGCTTTACGTGTTAAAACTAAAAGAACGACGTTCGTTTTCGTCGTAAGCATCGATTATACAAGCGATAGAAAATAAAAAACATTTTAGGCGAAAAAAGCTGAAAGAGAGTGAATGGATGGTGGTTTTTTTTTATTTAAGTTTAATCTGAATTTTTAATCGAAGATTTTTTTTTAATTCAACGAGTGAACTGAATCGACTCTTCGCATATTAAATGTGCATTTTAGAGACATCCTAAAAAAAGAGAATCGGAAAATCGCTGATCTTGTTATCATATCGTTTTGTATGCGCGATGTATATGCTTGCGCACTGTATATATGCATGTACGTGCAACATGGCACGTTCATTGATTAAACCAGATTTAACCGGCGCTGTGTGTCATGGCCTCAAAAAGCAGGTCAACCATTTCCTTCCCCCCTTTGACGAAAAAAAAAGAAAACCGAAATTTATTTCACCAGATAATGGATGGGTGTGCGAATTTGCATTTTTCTAGTACATGAAATGCCACTCTCTCAGGTCGTCTCGCGTTGCGCAACTGTTTTTGAAGTAACAAAAGCGACCAGGCTGCGTGATCAAACAGGCGGAAATATAACGCGAGTTATTCGCTAACGAGATCCTAATACGAGATCGAAATCAACGACGGATGGAAAAAACAGTGGTTTTTTTTTTCAACAGTCACTTTATTATCGTAGAAAGAATGCGACTGTACACAGTACGAGTGTTACAATCGGACAGTACCATCGTTATGGACGAACCGCATAATAGTTCGTACTTGGGCGCAGCTTAAAGTATCGTTAATTCAAAACAATTACGAGTTCCTGGCACGCTGCCTCTACGAAGTTGCCGAGCCGCTCCGGCTTATATAGTTACATATGGAGTGCATTAAGTGTCGGTCATAATTTAAATGGCCGCGTCCAAGACTTGTAATTCCAATCCCACGAGGTGGGAGCCATATACGTAATAAATGAACCACTTTTTAAAGCGCGCATAACTCTCCCTGGCGATGCCTGCAGCGATACGAGGCGAGATACGTCGCGACACCGTAAAAAAAAAATATAAAAAAAAGAAATCGTTAGATGTTGGAAGTTGCAAATGTTCGAGGAGCCAACGTACATCAACTCGTGTACAAGATTATCTAGTTGAAGCGCGCTCGAATTTGAATTATTACGAGTATTCGAATTCGGTGGAGCCTAACGTTGCTAGTTGATTGAAATACCAATGTCTCTGCTGGAATACTAATATCCGACGTACATATACGGATTTCGATACTTACAGATTATCGATGCTGTTGGGCGCATGATGCGTTGGAAGTTATCAAAGTCGTGCTGGCTTAGAGCATCAAGCGAGGTGCATTAAGTGGTCGTTATGAATTAAATCGTCATGTTCAAGATCCGTTATTTCAATGGAACAAGGTTACGTTAATGTGTGTGTGTGTGTGTGTGTGTGTGTGTGTGTGTGTGTTGGTATGTGTGTGTAGGGCTAGTGCTGTGCCTTCTAAGTATTCGATACATTAGCAGCGATCAATAATCTTAAAGCCTGCGATTCCAACACATTAAATTCTCACCTAAGAACATATATCGTAATTTCAGTTAAATATTCTTAAGCGCTTCGTACTTTATTTATATAACTAAGTTTATCTAAAACCGTAAATTTAAAAAATCGCTTGGATTACTTTAGGAATTTCAAATAATTGACAACATCGGAAATTTTAACAGTCTTTTTTTAAATTTAAATTGAATGAATTAGAACTTTATTTTCTCATCAATGCCACGCCAGAGCTAATTGCCGAGTTTTCTCGGAAATTTGTACACCCAAGTGATATTGAATTAATTATTTCTTCATTATATACCAGATTGAATTTGTTAGGAATGCTTTGACATTGTTGAATAATGTTTTTATTCGTTAGAAGCGCTGGTTGTATAAATCTGGCAACAATTTTTCAACAAAGTGCATTAAGCTTCGTAAATTACATAAAACATGAATAAATTCGATCTAAATCCAGTTCAGAATAGTTCGGAATAAATCGTATTAAAACGTGAAGAATACAACAAATATGCGAAGAATAATATATACAGCTCTTCAATACACAGTATTTATATGAAATTACAGCGATTTTTTTTATTACACTTTTTACCTTTTTTCTCTACAGCAATTATTTCAACGAGAATTTATTGCGCTATTGCGTGCTACCAATTTTCAAACAAATATGAATTTATTGCGAGTTCAATTATTTTGATTTCACTCCCTCCCCTACGAATTGGAAGAGAGAGAGAGAGAGAGAGAGAGAGAGAGGAACAGAGAGAAAAAGAGGGACAACCGGTAATTGCGGAGATGTACCGTGCACGCATTCGAGAAATGGAACCTTAACGGAATTTTCCCGCCCACGCATTTCGTAAATTACCTTATGCCTTCGTTTCAATGCAGTCGAGTTAACGTCCGAAAGAGCTATCCTTTTCCACATCCTCCGCACGAACTGGACTTACATTACATTATTATCAAGACTCCCATCGTACGATAAGCTCACGACGTCGTCTCCTCTCCTCATCGTCGTTCAATAGAGCTCTTATGAACCGCGTCCTACAACCGTGCAATGAGCCGAGGGGAAAAAACCCAAGCTTGTCTATGGGAGTGGAAAAATAATATCTATGTCAAAAGCGGAAAAATAATATCTATAGCGGACGGATGTGAAGAGGAAGAAAGAGAACGAAACTGAGAGGTCTACAAATTATTTTCTCGGAAAAAACCCTAAAATAGTCTCGACATCGTGTTTTATAGCCAAATAAATAACACTTTTGTTTTTTTTAATCTGTGGCAAAAATAGTCGATATTAAAATAAAACCCAATGACGACGAAGCGATAAAAAAAAAACGGTTTACGATTGTAAATAAAAATTTTTAAATTCCAAATATGTATTTTAACTTGCAATACAAATAAAATGCTCACCAATTTTGGGGGGATTTGCGCAAAACGTATAATTTGCGTCGCGAAACGGTTAAACTCCAAATGCCCGTTTTTACATTTAGGAGCTCGTTTGTCATTATTTTCAGAAAAAAGGAGCGGTGTCTAATGACTCTTTCCGTGAGACCAATTTGTTATCCGCGGAGTTGCGCCTGTATTTTCGGCGGCCAGTCGCTCTGGAAAATAGCACGAAATAAGCTGTTCCTGTAAATGGTACGTCTGTCACGTGTAACGGCAAACTGCATCTGCGGCGCTTTCATTTGCAACCGCATCGTATAACGGCGAACGCGAAATCGCTGCCACGGCAGGCGTTATCTTGCTTGTTAAAAAAAAAAGGAAGAGAGGCGGGGAAAAAGGAAGGAACTTTCCTCCGCGCTTTCCGCTGAAAAGGCTTTCGGTGTAAGTTTTCGCGGCAGACAATAAACCACGGCCATTTCTCATTGTGCCGTTTGTGTGGCGCGCATTGAGAGAGGGGTATTCACCGACGACATCGAAATTTATTTCCGGATTTATTCCTTAGACTTTTTGCATCAGTAATTAGCGGTGGCTTAGAA